TTGGGAACATTGGGGACAGCCAAGGGACATTGGGGACATTGGGGACAGTGGGGACGTTGGGGGGGATTGGGGACATTGGGGACAGTGGGGGATTGGGGACACTGGAGACATTGGGGACACGGGGGACATGGGGGACATTGGGGATGTTGGGGACATTGAGGACATTGGGGACATTTGGGACACTGGGGACATTGCGGACATGGGGGACATTGGGGGATTTGGGGACATTGGGGACACTGGGCGATTGGGGACAGCCAAGGGACATTGGGGACATTGGGGACACTGGGGACATAACACAGGTGTCACAGGGGGTGACAGGAGATGGCACAGCTGTCCCCAGGCTGTCCTCAAGGTGTCCCCAGGTGTCCCCAGCTATCCCCAGGTGTCCCCAAGCTGTCCCCAGCTGTCCCCAGGTGTCCCCAGGGTGTCCCCAGGGTGTCCCCTGGTGTCCCCAAGCTGTTCCCAGGTGTCCCCAGGGTGTCCCCAGCTGTCCCCTGGTGTCCCCAAGCTGTCCCCAGGTGTCCCCAGGGTGTCCCCAGGGTGTCCCCAGCTGTCCCCAGGGTGTCCCCAGCTGTCCCCAGCTGTCCCCAGCTGTCCCCAGGGTGTCCCCAGGTGTCCCCGGTGTCACTCACGTCGTGGCCCAGCTCGGCCAGCCCCGCGATGGATCCGTAGCGCGTGGTCCAGGGCGTCTTGTCATCCACCCAGCTCTGGGGACACAGCCCGGGCCTGAGTCCCGACCCCAAATCTGACCCCAAATCCCGAATCCCGACCCCAAATCCCGAATCCTGACCCCAAATCCCAAATCCTGACCCTAAATCCCAAATCCCGACCCCAAATCCCAAATCCCGACCCTGAGTCCCGACCCCAAAACCCCAAACCCCAAATCCCGGCCCTGAATCCCGGATCCTGACCCCAAACCCCCAAATCCCAGCCCCAAATCCCCATTCCTGACCCCAAATCCAATTCCCAACCCCACAAATCCCACAAATCCCACCTTGGTGAAGGTTTTGGTGATGCGGGACTGGATGTTGTTGGTGGTGGTGCTGAAGTTCTTGCACACCTGGGCCACCAGGCGCGCGGCGAAGTCCCGCAGGGCCCAGTGGTTGTCCACGTCCGGGCGCAGGCAGAGCTGGCGGCTGACGATGCACGTCATCACCGCCGGGATCAGCTCGTGCAGCTGGGACACGGGGACACGCGGGGACACGTGGGGACACGTGGGGACACGTGGGGACACGCGGGGACACGTGGGGACATGTTTGGGACGGGTTTGGGGCAGGTTTGGGGACATTTGGGGACATGTTCGGGACCTTTGTGGACATCGAGGAGATGTTTGGGACAGGTTTGGGACAGGTTTGGGCACTTGGGGACACTTTGGAGACATCTGGGACCTTTGGGGACAGGTTTGGGACACGTGGAGATGGGTTTGGGACACGCGGGAACACGGTAGGGACATGGTGGGGACACCTTGGGGACATTGGGGAGATGTTTGGGGCAGGTTTGGGAGCATTTGGGGACATGTTTGGGACCTTTGTGAACATCAAGGAGATGTTTGGGACAGGTTTGGGGCACTTGAGGACACTTTGGAGACATCTGGGACCTTTGGGGACATTTGGGGACAGGTCTGGGACAGGTTTGGGCACTTGGGGACACTTTGGAGACATCTGGGACCTTTGGGGACAGGTTTGGGACACGCGGGGACACAGTGGGGACACGTGGGGACACCTTGGGGACATTGGGGAGATGTTTGGGACGGGTTTGAGACAGGTTTGGGACCCTTGGGGACACTTTGGGGACATCTGGGACCTTTGGGGACATTTGGGGACAGGTTTGGGACAGCTGGGGACAGGTTTGGGACACGTGGAGATGGGTTTGGGACACGGTGAGGACACTCAGGGACACTTTGGGGACACTTGGGACCTTTGGGGACATTTGGGGACAGGTTTGGGACAGCTGGGGACACTTTGGGGACATTTGGGACATATTTGGGACCTTTGGGGACACTTTGGGGACATTGGGGAGATGTTTGGGACGGGTTTGAGACAGGTTTGGGTCACTTGGGGACACTCTGGGGACATCTGGGACCTTTGGGGACATTTGGGGACATTTGGGGACAGGTTTCGGACACCTGGGGACAGGTTTGGGACATGTGGAGATGGGTTTGGGACGCGCGGGGACACGTGGGGAGATGTTTGGGACAGGTTTGGGACCCTTGGGGACACTTTGGAGACATCTGGGACCTTTGGGGACATCTGGGGACAGGTTTGGGACACGTGGGGACACGGTGGGGACATCGGGGAGATGTTTGGGGACAGGTTTGGAGCAGGTTTGGGACACCTGGGGACAGGTTTGGGGACATTTGGGACACATTTGGGACCCTTGGGGACATCGGGGAGATGTTTGGGACAGGTTTGGGCACTTGGGGACACTTTGGGGACACACTGGGACACGTGGTGGGACACGGGTGGCACCGAGGTGACACAGGTGACACACGGGTGACACGGGTGACGTCACTCACGTATTTCTCCGGGTACAGGGTGGGGTTGTCCATCAGGGACAGGAGGTGACAGAGGTGACACAGGAGGTGACACAGGTGACACACAGGTGACACGGGTGACACGGGGAGGTGACACAGATGACACAGGTGACAGGGGTGACACGGGGAGGTGACACGGGTGACACGGGTGACGTCACTCACGTATTTCTCCAGGTACAGCGTGGGGTTGTCCATCAGGGACAGGTGAGGACAGGAGGTGGCACAGGGAGGTGACACAGGTGACAGAGGTGACAGAGGTGACACGGGGAGGTGACACAGGTGACACGGGTGACACACGGGTGACACGGGTGACGTCACTCACGTATTTCTCCAGGTACAGCGTGGGGTTGTCCATCAGGGACAGGTGAGGACAGGAGGTGGGACAGGTGACACAGGGAGGTGACACAGGTGACAGAGGTGACACGGGTGACACAGGGAGGTGACACAGGTGACATGGGTGACACACGGGTGACACGGGTGACGTCACTCATGTATTTCTCCAGGTACAGCGTGGGGTTGTCCATCAGGGACAGGTGAGGACAGGAGGTGGCACAGGGAGGTTTCGGGCAGTGACAGGAGGTGACAC